TCAAAGAGTCTTGGGTGATTGAGGTGTTTTCTAGAGAGAAGGAGGAGACAAAATAGGTTTAGAATGAGAGAAAAATGAGTTAGAGGTGATATATATTCGGACCAAAACGTTATAAGAAAACAGGGCACGAACTGCCCAGTTGGCCGCTCATGCGGCCTTCTCTACAGCTCGTGCGGCCACCTTGACCGCTCGTGCGGCCCACTTATCCGCTCGTGCGCCCTTAGACAGCATGCCAAAATCTGGGTGTCAAACCTCACCGCCCGTGCGGCCATACCCGCCGCTCGTGCGGCCCATCCCCGCACGTGCGGCCTGGGGCCCAAGCCCAGCCACCCAAAAATTCCGCTTCACTCCCGGCACTCCAGACTCACCCACGCATCCTCTGGAACAAGCGAAATTCAACACCGAATAGAAAAACACTAGAATTCAATCTAGGGAACCATCCCGGTCATTTCAAATCCAACAAAGGCAAATGGAGAACGAAGCGAAGAAAGAAAGAAAGAGAGAGGAAAGGGACCCGGCCGTCACAACCTCCCCACCATAGGAAATTTCGTCCCCGAAATTTTAATAACCTCACCAAACAAAGCGTTCTAGCAAAAATGGTTATTTCAACAACATTATCTAATTACAACATTTATGTTCAACCAACATTTAACATTCTTCTCATCATCAACTTGTCAAAACACAATTGCTCAAACTTATCATGAAATGAATTATCTATAACCATATCTCATGCTCTTTATTATCATTCTCCGAAATAATAGTTTTCCTCATTTCCATCTTTCGGAATAAAACATTCATATCAATTATCTTTCTTTCATAATCTCAAGCTTAGATTTACAATACATATAACAACATGCGATCAATAATTCAACATTCTTTTCCTTCAATGCTAGGGAACATTACAATTAAAACGAAACACTAAACATGCTCCAATAAACCCGGATACTTGGAGCGGACCCTCGTTTCCCGTTCCCAAGTCGCTTCCTAAGCATTGGCACCGAAAAACCATTTTTCAATTTTTAAAACCATCCCCCACATTTACCAGCTATGATACGAACAGTCGTGGGCATCGAAAAACTATTTTTCAACTCCCCGCGCGGGTACCAACCATAACACAATCCAACACAACTCGACTCAACCCAACACGACTCAACTCCACACAACACAACTCAACCAAACTCAACACAACCCAACTCATCTCAACTCAACACAACATAACCCAATACAATTCACATAACACACAACAAAATTCGACACAACCATTTCAACACAAAGCTCATATCATCCATACCATTAGTAATTTCTTTTCCCCCAAGTTTAGTTTCATATTATAACATAATTTAAAATATCAACATTATTAGTTCAATCGCAACTTTTACATAAATTTCTCAAATTCTTTAAAAATTTCAATTAAACTTGTACAAGTGTAATTTAACACCTCAATTTCATGATTCTACTATGAATTAAAGCAAAACCATTAACCATCTTCATGAACCAAACTAGGATTTTTAAGAGAAATTAAGGCTTTTCACAAAAACACATTTTATTCCAACCCTTCTATTACTTTTACACCCAAACTCATGACCCAAGATCATAACCCAACAAATAAACCCAACTCTCTTCAAATCCTAACCCCCAATCTCATGATTCAGCACAATATGCATAAAAATGTGAACTTTTGTATTTATATAAAGATCATACCACAAATCTATCTATAAATGAGGGTATTGAAAGAGAACTAGAAACCCCTACCTCTTGAAGCCAAGAGATAACGACCCAAAAATCAATGGCGACGAAACCACGAACTAATCAGACCAAACGGAAGCCCTTGACGAGATCTACAATCTTTCTCAAAGAACCAAGATGAAAAGATCACTCTAGGTGAGTAGATCTAAAGATCTAAGTGAAAAAGTTTGAGTTTTAGAGAAAGAGAAGAGAACTCAAGGCCTTGAGGAGAAAGGAGAGGAAAAATAATGAGAGAGAAGTGGTTAGGGTCTATTTATAGTAGTAGAAAAGTAGCCTTAAGGTCAATAAAATAATAAGTCCAAAACCCTCCAAAGGTAAGGCCCATTCGGACCCACAAATTTGAAAATAAACACGCAAGGGTCGACCCCTGGTGTGGTGGTGTCGACCCTTCAGCAAGAAAAGACAATGCTGGCAGCAAGCATGGTGTCGACCCTTGGACAGGAAGGGTCGACCCTAAATTCTAGCAACTAATACCCAGATTCTGCAATATACAAGGATCGACCCTTCCCAGACTGGTGTCGACCCTTGTGGACAACAACAAGAGGCAGGTGTTGACACCACCAAGGCTGGTGTCGACCCTAAATTCCAGCAGCATCTCCAGAAACTTCACCAACAGGTAAGGGTCGACCCTTAGGAAGGCTGATGTCGACCCCAAAATAGAATTTCTAAGTTTCTAAGGAACTTTTTGTCAAGAACAAGCACAAACAAACAAACCCAACAAGTTTAAATCGGATCATACTCCTCTAAAACCAACATTCAATAGCTCCAAAGACTCCCAAAAATGAAAATAAGGAAACTAAATACACGCTCCAATGGATTAAAGGATGCGGGTGTTACATGTATATTAACTCTGATGGAAGCTTCTTATTGTATTTAGATCAATTGTACCAGTGCTTGTAGTTGGATTATTGTAATTATTTTAGCGGCGTTACAAAAATTTAGTGACGAAACCATTTTTTAAGGATGAAATATCTTAATTATAAAAGTATTATTGTTGCATTTTTAAGACAAAATTGGACATTTTGTAATGAATTATTATTGTTTCGGAGCCAAAATTTTTATCTTAAAAATAAACCTTTTGGGGTGAAATTGTTTTATCTCTAAAAATGTATTTATTAGTGACACCTTTCAATTTTGTTGTAGAAGTAAATTTTTTTAAATAAATTATATTTTGCCCTCCTTATGTTTAGACGTATTCAATTTTGTTCGTAGAGGTAATTTTTTTTTTCAATTTTGTTGGTAGAGGTAATTCCTTTTAAAAGATATTAAAGTATGGGAAATCTCTTTTGAAATTATTCATGACTGTTAAGATAATTCTAATAATAATCAGAATTAATCATCCAAATTTAATATGATTAAAAGTTATTACAAGTATTGGAAATCTCTATTGAAATTGTTCATGACTGCTAGTCTAGAGTAGGATAATTCCAATAATAATCAGAATTAATCATCCAAATTTAGTATGATTAATTTTTTTTTTTTTTTTTTTTTGGACTAATAGAAGCATGATCACTAACTAAGCAAACATGTTAAAGCAGTTGCCAGCTTATGGGCCGGTTTAAAAGTTATTAGAAGTAGTGAATTCTATTACATTTAATACATTATTATCATATAGATTCCAAAATAGGTAAATTACTAATACGTTTTACTTTTGAAACTCTATTACCTGTTAACGTTCTATTGATAAATTTATTAGTCTCTCTTGTTTTTATAAATAAATTTATAGTGATAAATTATTCAGTCAGGACTTGTATGTAACTAGGTCTAGTTAATAAAATTGATTGGTAAGTGCACCAAAATAAATACATGAATAATAGTTAAGTAATGATATGCAAATAAAAAAGTGATACAAAATGATGCTCATAACTTTTTATTTTAAAACAAAACATACACAAAAATTAGTTTTATTTATCAAAATAACACTGATACATTATTCTTATGAAAAAGTTTTTACATAATTTGTATATATGAAGAGAATTTTCCATGACAGTTATATACAAATAACTGCTTATAATAATAAATTTATGTAATACCTTATTTGCAAATAGTAAGATTATGGTCCATATCTCTGTTGTACTATAGACAGAATTTCTTAGATATCCTTTAATCTGGTGCTTAGATTATGATCCACTCTTTCACATGTATCGATCTGGCATGATCTTATGGTTATCAATTTGCCAATATTGAACCCAGACTTTAGTGGAGGATCCAAACCAAAACTATTGAATGGAATTGCAATCAGCTTGGTTTGAGTTTTTTAAATTTTTTTAGAAAAATGAAATTTTTATTCATAATTTTTTGTTTATATTAAATTTTTTAATATTTAAAAAAAATTAATTTTTTTTTACATACATCTAACGTAAATATACACTTAAATATTATAATATTTGTAGAATTATTTTTTAGAAATTCACTAAATACCAAAAATACAAAATAATAATAATAATAATAATATAATAATAATAATTAATAATAATAATAATAATACATTTTTTTATATTCTTGTGTATTTATTAATTTTTTAAAATATTTTTTTACAAATATTTTACTTTTTAGATACATCTAAGAAAAATGCATTTAAAAAAATAAAAAAATGCTTTAAAAATAAAAAAAGAATTATGAAAAATAATCTAGTGGATGATCCAAACCAAAACCATTGAAAGGAATTGCAATCAGCTTGTTTGGTTTGAGATTTTAAAATTTATTTTTCAAAAAATTGAAATTTTTATATTTTTTGTTTATACTGAATTTTTTAATATTTTAAATATTTTTTTTAATTTTTACATATACCTAACATAAATATACACTTAAAAAGTATAATATTTGTAAAATTATTTTTAAAAAATTTAACTAAATACCAAAAACACAACAAAAAAAAATTAAATAAATAAAAATTCAGTACATTTTTCGTATTCTTATGTATTTATTAATTTTTATAAATATTTTATTTTTTAGATACATTTAAAGAAGGTACATTTAAAAAAGTAAAAAAAATTACTTTAAACAAAAAAAGAAAAAAAAAAACACAAAAAAAGAAAAAAAAATTCAATTTAGAAATTTAAAATGAATAGAATTTTCAAACCCAACTAATAATTATATCCTGATATTATTCTTATGTTGTATAATTTGTTACAGAAGTGATGGTCCAAGGACATGTGTTTCATATGCATGGATCTGGCACGATCTTAGTGGAGGATCCAAACCAAGACTATTGAAAGGAATTGCACTAGAATTTTCAAATCCAAGTTGTATTATCTATAAATACCTCTCCATGCTCTTGCAGCTCTTCATCCCTCCATCCTATTGCTGTCTTTCATAGCTTTCTATTCTATTAATAACAAACAAGCCTACAATACAATGACATTCTTGCCCAATACACTTCCCAACCACTTTCTTTCTTTCCCACCCCTTTTACTCTGCCTCATCATCCTTGCATTCCCCACTTTTTTTGATTATGCTGCTTTTGCTTCTTCCTTAACTGGAAAACAAGCAACTGAAGCCATGGCTCTCTTGACGTGGAAAGCTAGCCTTCACAACCAAACTCAAACTCTCTTGTCCTCCTGGGTTGGAACCAACCATTGCACTTGGCTTGGAATTCGTTGCAACAAGGCCGGTAGAGTTGCCCATATAGACCTTCACGGTTATGGTTTGAAAGGTACTCTTTCTAATCTTAATTTCTCATCCTTCCCTCATCTCCTCAAACTTCGACTTTTTAACAACTCACTTTATGGGACCATCCCCCCCCATATTGGTAGCCTTTGGAGACTCACCTACCTTAGCTTTTCTCTCAACAATCTCTCTGGAACAATTCCGACGGAAATAGGCCAACTAACTAATCTAAGGATCTTTTACATGCGTGAAAATCAAATTAGTGGCTCCATCCCTCAACAAATAGGATTGCTCAACTCTCTCAATGAGCTCAGCTTGTATACTAACAATCTCACGGGTTCAATCCCTTCTTCAATTGGAAACTTGGGCAACTTAACCCTTCTGCTCCTTTATGACAACCAACTTTCCGGATCAATCCCTCAAGAAATTGGGATGCTGAGGTCTCTTCTTCATCTCGAACTCTTAGGGAACAAGCTCACGGGTTCAATCCCTGCATCTATAGGGAACTTGGGCAACTTAACCACTCTGTACCTTGATGACAACCAACTTTCCGGATCAATCCCTCAAGAAATTGGGATGCTGAGGTCTCTTGTTGATCTCGGACTCTTAGGGAACAAGCTCACGGGTTCAATCCCTGCATCTATAGGGAACTTGGGCAACTTAACCACTCTGCACCTTGATGACAACCAACTTTCCGGATCAATCCCTCAAGAAATTGGGATGCTGAGGTCTCTCATTGATCTCGAACTCTCATCGAACAATCTCACCGGTTCAATCCCTGCATCTATAGGGAACTTAAGCAACTTAGCCGAGTTGCACCTTTATTACAATAGGCTTTTTGGATCTGTTCCCCCAACGTTAAACAATCTTACACATTTGACAGAGTTTGAAATAAGTGATAACATGTTCAATGGTCATATACCAGCAGACATATGTGTTAGTGGATTACTTACACAATTAATTGCAGAAAATAATAATCTCAAAGGTCCCATCCCAAAAAGCTTGAAAAATTGCTCTAGCTTATACAGAGTTAGGCTTGAGGGAAACCAACTGTCGGGAAATATATCAGAAGATTTTGGCATATACCCAAGCTTGGATTACATTGATTTGAGTCATAACAATTTTTATGGTGAGCTATCTAAAAACTGGGGAAAATGCCACAATTTAACTAGTCTTAAAATGTCTAACAATAAAATTTCTGGTAAGATACCATCTGAATTAGTAGGGGCAACTCAGCTATCCGTTCTTGATCTCTCTTCAAATCATCTAGTTGGAGAGATCCCATTGAAATTGGGAAGGTTGGTTTCACTGTTCAAACTTAAGCTGGATGATAACTATCTATTAGGCAATATTCCTCTAGAATTAAGTAAGTTGTCCAATTTAGAGAACCTTAACTTGGCAGCAAATAATCTAAGTGGCTCAATCCCTACAGCACTAGGAGAGTGCAAGAAACTTTGGAACTTGAATTTGAGCAATAATAGATTTGGGGAAAGTATTCCTGCCGAAATAGGTCGTATCCATAACCTTCAAATTCTTGATCTTGGTCATAATTTGCTAATAGGTAAGATACCACAGCAGATTGGAGAATTGCAAAGGTTAGAAACATTGAATCTCTCCCACAATGAACTCTCTGGTTTCATTCCATCATCTTTTGATAATATATTAGGTTTGATATCAATAGATGTATCTTTCAATCAATTGGATGGTCCTATTCCTAACATCAAAGCCTTCCGAGAGGCTCCATTTGAGGCACTTAGAGGTAATAAAGGTTTATGTGGTTAATGCCTACTAGTTTGCAAGACTGGCCCGCAAGCTAATAAAACAATGGGGGAAAGAGTAACAACGTTGTGTTACTAATTGTTCTTTTTTTGGCATTTTCTATTTCTTTTCATAATGGTTGTGGAATAGTACTCTTGTTTTTTTGTAAAAATATTGCAGCAACACAAAATGAGCCAAACGGAGTAAATAACGAAAAAATTGTTTGCAATTTGGAGCTATGAGTGGAAAATGGTGTATGAAAGCATCATTGAAGCAGACTGAAAACTTCTAGTGCCAAATATTGTGTTGGGGAGGGAGGATGTGGTAACTGTTACAAAGCTGATCACAACGTGGTCAGTAGTTGCCTAGTAGAAAACTTCATGCAATATCACCCGATGGTACTTGGCTAATCTAAAGGTAATACGAGGAATATTAGTGCATTACAAAGTATTCGCCATCACAATATTGTAAAACTTGTATGGCTATTGTTCACACCAAAAGGCACTCGTTTTTGCGTTTCATAGTTCTTGAAGGGGGGAAAGCGTTGAGCGAAGATATTTGAGCACTGAGGATCATGCATTAACTTTGATTGGATTAAAGATGTGAATTTGTGCAAAGATGTGCAAATGCTTTGTCTTATATGCACCACGACTGATCCCAGCAATCATCCATCGAGACATATTCAAAGCCAAGAATGTTCTTGCCTGTATTTAGAGATTCCAGGCTCACCATATCCCGATTTCGGCCCAGCAGCCTAGATTTATAGTTGACGCACTAATTGGACGATCATAGGACCTTTTGGGTAGCTGCTCCTGCGTATGTAATAAGTTCATTTTTATTTATCAATCAATTGCATACATATTAGGGATTTTAATCGTGGATGTTATTTCATGTCAGAATTGAAAGTGGTCATTGAACTTCAAATTGTTTTTCTTTTTTTTTTTTTTTTTCTCTTCCCACATTGGTTTTTTTAATTACTATTTTCTTCTCTTCGTTATTTGTTGGATTTGGTTAGAACTTGCTTATACAATGGAAGTGAATGAGAGTGGATGTTTTATAGTTTTGGTGATTCTCACATTGGAAAGTGATTATGGGGAAGCAATCCGGGTTGATCGTGAATCTACTCTCTGTTCATCATCTCATCCCTTCTCATCCACATCAACTGCCCACATGGATATTATTGAAGGATGTGTTGGATCAACGTTCTTCGCAGGGCCACCTGAGAATCAGATGGCAGAGAAAGTATTTGTGGTTGCCAGAAACGAGCATTTGCCATGTTGCAACCAATCCACCTATTCTCGGCCACCATGAGACAAGTTGCCATGAAGCTATCAGATGATCGAGGTCACATCTGCCCAAAAGAATTCCACATGATCACATTTGGGACAACTGATTTCAACTGCCTCAACCTCTTGAGTATTTGCCTTCTATCCTGCGACTATATGTTGTTTCTTGTTTTCATTTCTTCTTAGATTGTTCAATTTCAACCCTCTTTTCCAATCTAGTTTCTGCTTTCTTTGTATACTATTTAGCATTTTACAAAACTTTTTTAATGGCTAATTTAAAACCATCTTAAATCTTCATGTTGGGCTTGTATTATGAGTGGTAGCGGGTTGTGCGCGGGCGGTTCAGGACGAGTTTAAGCAGTAAAAATTACAAACCGAATGGCGGCATTAGTTAGCGGAACATTAGCGGATTGACAAAGTACGGTCTTGGGCGATTGTTGGCGGATTGGCGGATTGAAGAATATTCTAACTATATTATCACACATTTTAACATAATATATTAACACTTAATTTGTATAAATTTTTTAGATTATATGAACACAATGATAATTTTACATAATATGTTTTCATATAGTTATTAACCACTAATTGGTGCTAATAAATTTTATTCTTAAATCTCTCTCACACTCATTTTTATATTGATATTTCATTGGAAGTTTTAAAAAATATATATGTATTAACTATAGCGGAGCGGAGCGGTTCGGTTGGCGGATTATAAATTTTAAAGTTTAAACCGCGGTTAGCGGTTAGAGCGGTGCGGATTGATGCGGATCGGTGCGGTTTTAGCGGATTGGGCGGTATTTTGCACAGCCCGATTTAGTGGGCTGTTTTCATTGGATTTTTGCAAGCTTTTTAAATGAATAGTTTCAATAAAAAATTTCTACTTATTTATCTTGAATTTATTTGACATTTGAGTTGCTCATATTATTTATACATTTATAAGCTCTAAATTCCACATTAGCTTTTCTACTCTTATTCTGTATTTCGAATTTGCTTGCTCTGTTTCTTACAAAATGGTGTTGTACTATGCAGGCAACTAGTGCCCTTAGCCATCCAGTCTAATTGAAAGCCTTTTGAGGTAATTTGATATTGAAATCAATAAATTTGATTGAGACATTTTTATTTTTTAATATTTTTTATAATAAATTTTTCTTGATTTTGTGATGAAAATTTACTAATTAAATCTTCATATTCAAGTTTTGCTAACATTTTTTTTTAATTGATAACATGACTAATTTACTGTTATTATAAAATATTTTTTAAACTGTCATCATCTAGTGATTTTAATTTTTAAAATTAAATAAAAAAGTCAACAATTTCTTTCAAAGTTAGAAATTATTCAAACATGACTTGAATTGAAGAAAGCAAGCTAGACAGAGGGGGTCGGTTTCGTTTGGTGCGACTTTTTTCAAACTTTTGAACTTTCTTTTTTAAGATCTACTTTTTTTTGTATCAGTAAAAGTGAAGACAATTGTATTTTTTTAAAACCCAGCTATTAAAAAAACCTTTTTGAGCTTCTTTTCTAATGAACTTTTTTCTATTTGGATCAGGGCCTTCTTTTGTATATATATAAAGGATAAATTTCACTATCCTCCCTTTGAGATTTAAAAAAAATACATTAGTTCTATACTTTTGACATAATATATTAATTTCTTTTTTAGCATTTTTTTTAAGGGATTCTTTTAGTATGGTTAAAATGACTAAAACTAATGCCAATAGTGAGTAGATACTGAAATAAATAAATATAAATATATATATATATTAGTAGAAAAGAGATAATAACATTATTTTTTTATTATTTATACAACTAACGAATTACTGGTAAGAAGAGGCCTAAGTGTAATGTAAATTAAAGCCTTAGGAAGGTTAGTGTAATTATGTCGAAAGTGTGAAACTAAACGTGTAATCTTCAAATCTCAAGATAGGTGAGTATAATTTACCGAAAACAAATGGAAGAATTTGATGGAATTTTAATCATAACTGTAGATTTTCAAAAAAATGTGGGTCTTCTTGGATCTGTTTTTCCATGTGAACCAGCATGGCCTTATTTTCCGGGGGAAAAAATGTTATAGTTATATAGGACCTTAATATATGGGATAATTACTAATAAGTCTTATTAATTGGATTTATTTACTTATAAATCTTAAGTGATTTTTTTTTTTTAATACGTATTTGCCTCTTATTTTAATAATGAGAAAATTTTGAAACTTTATACATATATATTTTGTGTTTGTGAAATGATTATTTAATACTCGTAATGATACTAATAAATTTATTAAAGTGATAAATGATTAGGACATTTTGACTTTTGTTTATAAGTTTTGCTTATATTAGTTTATTTGTGTTGGTTTGCATTAAAATATGATGTGAGAGGTGTAACTTGTTAAATTGTATTTTTTTCAATAAATATTTTTACAATAATAAATTTGAATAGAATCTATCCCTTAATGTATCGGCTTTCAAAAAATTAGCACCATAAAAAATTAAGGCTTATAGAAAGGGTTTTATTGGCTTTATGGTTAAGCCACCCATGTTTCCATGTTTAATTTTAATTTTTTTTTTCTTTTTTTCATGCTGCTTCCATTTCTTTCACAAGGTCATCTACTCATATTAATGATTTCATGCTGTTTGGAAGGATTAAAGACCACCAAGATCAAGACCAAGAGCTAATGAGTTAGAAGAAGCATTGGCTGGTGCACATATGGCTCTTAGGATTGATGTGTGGCTGACTGCCTGGACCTGCATAGTGCTATTGCAGCTTTTATGTAAAGGCTTAGAGTTGTTCAGTGTTTTGTCATTTTGTTGTTTAGTTGATTTCTCGTTTCTCACCAACTCGCGGTGATGTGCTTGCAAATGATTATGTTTGCTTTTCAATGTCAACTTAATTGGGATCGGGTGGTCTTGCTATGATGCAGTCTCGCACTTTCCTTTTTTCACTTTGTTGATGTTTTATTTGTTTATATGCTGGTCTTCATCAATAAAATTTTCTCTTTTGTTGATAAATTTAGAAAAAAAAAAAGACAGTGACTTTGTGATGGCGTTGTAACGTAGGTATTTTATTTATTTTTTTCCAAGTTTTTCATTTTTCTTCCATAAATCTTTTATTGGAATCCATAATCTATACATAACTAGAGTTCTAATCACACAAGAAAAAGAATGGAAAATAGGACGCCTAAAATCTTGGTATTGGACAAACGAAAGTGTTTCATTAAGATTCCTTGCCTTTTATACGTGGCAAAGGCAAATCATTGGTCCTCCACAATTATTTATATGATTTAGAAAAAAATTATTTTTGCTTCTGCGTCAAATTCATGTGATGTTTTACTTGATACTTATTTGTTAAAATAATGAGACTCAATACTTTTTTGTTAGATTTTTCAAAAATAACTTGACAAATATCAAATGATGAATAATGATCACAATACAGAGATGGGTATGGGTATTTGTTAGATTTTGGGGAAATCGTTGTCTGATTCTGGCAAAATTGGACCAATTTCGATGGAATTTGGGGACTTTGATCACAATACAGAGATGGGTATTGGTGATATTTCGATGGAATTTGGGGACTTTGATCACAATACAGAGATGGGTATTGGTGATAATGCAAATTCTCCTGAAAGGTCAGAGCTTTTGGGGGAAGAAAAAGGTCAAGATGGCGAGGCCGATGGAGATGTGGCTTCGAGTGGTGAAGAAAGTGTTGCCATAGGATCAGTGAAGCCAAGTGAGGAAGGGAAGAGG